TAAATATTTTGTTGCTGGCAGAGTGTTAATCATTCAAAGATAATCGTATTTTGTTTTTTTTTTTCGATCATTTTTAACAGATATGATTGAGACTGCGTTTTTAGACAGTTTTAAGTCTTTTATGATAAAAAAAATTAAACCTGAGAATAATAGTTATAAATCCTCAAAAAAATAAAAAAAATATAGAAAAATAAAAAAATACTTGATCGAAAAAAATTTATGAAACCAAGTTTTACTAAAAGTTTAAGCATTTTTTTTCAACTTGAAGGTGGTGCTCGCAGAACAGCATTTAAAACAATTAAAAGTTTTAGTACAAATATTCATAACATCAAACGGAAGTTTGAAAATATTTTGAAGTTGCCACCTGGTTCAAATGTCGAATTTAGTTTACTTATACACAAGTTATACGAAATATCAAAGTATGGATGTTGAACGAAGGAGTGCTAAGAAATCTTTAATTTGAGCGCTAAGAATATTTTTGTAATGTTGAAAGAGGGTTGCCACCTGTTTAAAAAGTTAAGTTCAAATTATTTTATAAGTTAAATGAATTATTAAAATATGGGTATTTATCAAAGTTGGTGGTTTGAAAATTTTCTATTTCTGAACGGTATTTAGCGGGGTTGCCACATGTTTGAAAATTGAGATTCCACTTAATTCATCAGTTAATTAATATATGTATTGCAGTATCCGGCGAAAGAGAGTTAACAATGATTAAGCTTGAAAATACTTTCGAAGGCTTGCCACCTGTCTGAAAGGTCTAACTCAATTAACTAATTCAAAAAGTATATGAAATATAAAAATACCGTATTCAAAGGAAATAATGTTAAGAAATCTTTAGTTTGAACATTTCGAATGTTTGAAGAGGGTTGCCACGTGTTTAAAAAGTTTCATTCAAATTATTGAGTAAGGGGAATGAATTATAAAAAGATGGGTATAAATATAAATGGGTTTGAAAGAGACCTTTACTAATGAGGGTTGCCATTTGTACGAACAATCAAATTCGAATTAGTCCATCAGTTTATTGAAATACATGTGTATCACAATGTCAGACGAAAGAGATTTAAGAAGATTTTAGTTTGAAAAGGAGTTTCAAAAATGACAGGTCAAATTAGAGACCTTAGCCTGTAGATGTATTAAGAAATTTTTTCATCGGTATAGGGAACACGGAAGCTTATTTGTTGTAATAAGCACCTCTAACCGCGGAGCTTGCCTTACCGGATAATTAGTCGTCCGTACATTCCATTTCATTTAGAAGTTGAGCCAGGAACGATATACTCCATCCACCCATCAGCAGATGATTCACTCACACACTACAGATAATGAATTCGTTCCCTTCCAAAACAAACTAACAAACATTATTACTCCAAGCACGTTTGCAATATGACAATTTATACGATGGATTCGAAGCAATCACTAAAAAGACAGGTCACAAATAAATATTTCGGATGCGAACGTAGTATGCACAGAAATGTGAATGGTTATACTACATACATATGGATGTATGTCATTAACTCACTACAAACATATCTACATACAAATACATAGCTGAATCCAATTCGGAAATAGGTGTTTGCACGTGGGGCTACTCAACGTCAATACCAATTCATTGCTTTGGATAGCAAATTATGCTGCCTGACCTTCCACAAATCAAAACAAAATATAAATGTGAGTAAATTTTAAGAATTTTGTTTGTTCTTGAGTGCGATAATTGAATTATTGCATGATTAGAGAACAATAGTAAAAAATATTTGAGAATAATTTCACAAAAAAAAAAAAAAATGCTGCAAAAGAGTGTCGTTCAGATTGTTAGATATTATGTGTCTATGAGCACGAATGGACATAATTAAGAAAACAAAAATGGTAAAACAGAGAAAAAGCAGAAGTAAAGGCAAACGAAAATAAAAAAAAAACTTAGCAATTTGATGAAAATATCCCCAAAGCCATGTGTGGGAAATTAGTATGCTGTACAACGTACGGCTGTGTGGCACAAACCAAAAATATCTACTATCTGCATACAAACGGCCACACAGCAACACACTTGAAACTCGTACGAGTACTAGACATCGCATATGCCTAACTAACGCGCCATCGTCAACGCCGCCAACCAACGTCTGTCTGCACGCAATGATGGGCTCGATGTACGCGGACGTGCCATGGGCAGCCAAGAATGATGCAAAAAAATGCTTGCAAAAAATACTAAAACAGATAGTAGCAAAAAAAAAAACTATTTACCTACGGGCGAGCTTATACATACATACATATGTATGTATGTACATTAGAGTTAAGCACGTTAGTTCTTTTAAGTGCACCGTTCAGTTGTAGTTCGTTCACCTTAGTGAACTAATTCTTTAGTTCATTTAGTTCAATTGACGAATACATTAACATACCGACACCAAAGTTGAAGATCGACCTATATTCGCAGTCAGTTCGGAAACGCCCTTTCTGTGAAATCTTTTCAAGATCAACCTATTTCAGAATTTGTTTGAAGATCGCTCTACCTAGCTTCCGATTCAAAAACACCCTATCTCAACCTATTTTCAATATATTTGCAGTTGACACAGGGCGTTCTTTAACCAAATTCTGAAATATGGCGTTCTTGAAAAGTTTTCTGCGATAGGGTGTTTTCGAACTGGCAGCCGAAAAAGGTCGATCTTCCACTCAGGTGTCGATATGTTATTTTAAACAAAGTTCAATTATTTTCACTATTACATACAAAACAAATACTTTGGTTACTTGAATTTACATATATAAAAAACTAACATAAATATATTTTCGTATAAACCCAGCCAGCAGAGAAACGTACTTTTTGCCGAAAATGCAGTTTTCGTACATTTTTCGTTTCCGGAAATGTTCAGAAAACGATTTTCATATTTGTTCATTTTTCGTATCCGAAAAATGTCATCATCTTATTTCAAAACAATAATTTTAAAATATTTGTTCAAACTGAGCATTTTAAAACATGTATACATATTCGCCAGTAACTGAGTGTGTAGAGAAGTGTGCTACTATTTGTTAGCTTTCAGGAGGACCCAGGTTCGAATTCCGTCAGAAGCAAGACATTAAAATTACTTCTTCAAATTGAAATAATTGCTGAATCTTAAATTTGTTTTTTGTTTGGTTTCCTGTAACTATGAAAAAGTTTCTGTGAAGTTCATAATGAAATCGTTTTCAACGAAAAATTGTATCAGACAAATTTCAGGAAACCAGCCGGAAGGGCATCCGTTTTACAACCATTTTCGATAGTTTACTGCACATACGTTTCGGATGAACAATTTAGTGGGAGAATTGATCTGAAAAACGTCCGAAAACGGAATCGGAAAACGGATGAAACATCAGGTTTTTATACGAAATTATTTCCATTTTCGGATAAGTTTCCGGATATTTTGCTGGCTGGGAATATATTACAAATAAATGAGTTCGCAAGGAAATGAAGCAGCGTCGAGAATATTTGGATGGCGACCCAAAATGAGAAATAGTAGCACTGACAAATTTAGTTCAATGAAAATACGGAACTAGTGAACTAGTTAATTTAGATGAACTAATTATCTAGTTCATTTAGTTCAAGAACTACCCAAGCCTAATGTACATACTATATACAATTTACATATGTACATTACGGTGCCTCACCAAAAAAAGTTGCCGTTTGCCCAACGGCATCATAAAATTAAGAGGGCAATCCTGGCAACTGTCTTTTAACTCACCCCAATCTTTCGAAAGGCAAAAGTCTTTCGTAACCCAATTGCCAATTCTGGCAACTATCTTGAAAGCTCTTTTCTGTCTTTCGAAAGACTAACAGCCGGTTTCACCAGCAATTTAAATGGCAAATGATTTTCTATTATCTGTCAATTTCCATTTTAGATCCAAAAAAATAAAATCATTTTTCACTTAAATTGCTTTCGTGAAATTGGCTGTAATTGTTAGATCGGCTAACGATAGATCTTGGTGATATATTGTTTGTCTCTTAATAATGAGGTATATAAGTGTTTCTCTTGAAAACAACAAAAACTAAAAGTCTAAATTAAAAGAAGAAAAAATTAGTAATAAAAGTTTATAAAATCATATAATGTAAAATCTAGAAGAAAATTAGTCGCTAAAAATTAAATGATATTAAAAAATGCTCTTTAAACATTAAGATCTAAACACTGAAAGAAAAAAAATTTAAAAAAATAAAAAAAAATTTATGAATAAAAAATTTCATCCCCCGAGGATTTTAACCTCGGATCTATCGAACGCCACGCCAATTCTTTACTCACCATGTCTTTGAGACTGTTGAAGCAGCATGCAGATTTAGGACAAGCTCAAGTACTTTCTGTAAAATTACTTTTAACTTTTAGCTTTTTTTTAACATTGGAGCCAGAGTAAACCAAGTCTTTCACACTGTCTTACCTATTGACTTTCAACTATGTATCTTCTTAAAGTTAGCAACTATCTTAGCCAGAAGCGCTCTGTTATTTTAGTTTGGACCGATTAGAAAATATGTACGTCCAAAAACCTGATCATTTTGATTCCGTTGATAAAATTTTTAAAGGTTTTTATGCACACCATTTAAGCTTAAACTCATCTGAAGTGATCTTTTGAAAAAAAAAAACTTAACTAATTTGATAAAAAAAAAAATAGATTTTTTGGAATTATTTTCAAATCGGCGTAGCTTACGTAAATTTTAATATTTTTCTGAAATATTTTGACGAATGTACATGGACTCGTATAACGATTCCGTTGGAAAAACAATACCGACGTGTTTTTTTTTTTTTGGATGGAGACTGTTGCACCCTAATGTCCATACCTATGCCCACATGAGTGTGTGTGTGTGTGTTTTTTTTTTTTTTTTGCTAGTGACAGTAATGAGCACTTAACGTAGCCATTAGCACACAGAACACAGCGCTTTGCTAAGCAGAGGGTGTAGTGCAGAAGCCGCTGGGTTGTTGAGCCTATTTTTTGCGCACATTTTGCACACATTTTCTGACGCGCTTGGAAGCTGCAGATGAACAACAGAATTTCTGTATAAAAGCATAGCTCGCCCATATTTAATTAACCAGTATCATTTGCACAAAGCCGCATATTTCTCGTCTATATACTAGCGCGCAGATAACTCAGCTAAAAAATTGGAGGACCATGTTCAAATATGTAAGCTACTTTTATGAACTGAATATAATTTAATTTCCTTTTAAAGTATTTTTTTTTAGTTTGCGCATTTACTCATTTAACTAATTATGTATATGTTTGTGTGTATATAACTCACAAAGCATTGGTTTTTAATTAAAATTTTTTATTTTTTCCAGCTTGCACTCAGTTTTTTCGCGCTACTCGCTGTAGCTGCCGCTAAACCCAGCATTATTTCGCCTTTTGCCACTTATTCGACATCTCTGTTGGCATCACCAATTACAGCTGGCTACACTTTTCCCTATTCCACCTACGCTACGGCTCCTTATGCTGCTGCCGCCTACGCTCCTTACTCACCCTATTCATTCCAATCACCCTACTACGCTGCATACTCAAGTTACCCTTATGGTTCGATATTGCTTAGGAAATGAGATACGAAAACAAATAGTCTGGAAATTTATGTACAGATATGAAGTGTTATAACGAATTTTTACTAACATGAAAATAAATAACTTGTGCTTTAAAAAACATATTTCCTTTATAAAAAAAGAAAATCTAAGAATTTTTTTCCTCAAATTTATTTGTAGACGGTTGCAGAAGTTAAATATTTGTTTTGCTAAATTTTTGCTACCCAAAGTATAAAGAAAGTTAGTTTTAAACTAAAATTTTTATATGGTAGTGTTAAGTATTAGTGACATGGCGTTTCGGAAAGATACATCATTTCCCGACTTCAATACAAAATTTCGTGGTATTCTTCTTTTTGAAAATTACAAAAAATTAACAAAAATCCCTTTTTTCGGTAAATTATTGGTATATTGGAAAAGCAAAGATTCGCATTATTCATGAAATATGGATTTCATTCATGTCAAAACAGCTGGCCTCGACGTTTGTAAGACTTTGGTGACGTATACTGACTCTATCTCACGAATGGCTCGCTCCATAATCACCTTAAAGGCCTTTATCACTAATGAATTGTTCGCATAACATCGGTCCTACACGGTACCCTACGAAAAAAGTCTACTGACTTACAACACGGTTACCGACCTTGGCGTGCAAAATATCAATTGTCGCGTGCACTGTGTGACAGCGCGCCATATTGCTGAAACCAAAGATCGCCCAAGTCCATAACTTGAATTACGGCCTCAAAATTGTTTATCATGCTTCTGCAGCCGTTGACCGAAATGACATTTTCAGCAGTTTTTTCAAAGAAAAATCGGCCAATGATGTCACCAAGATTTCCAGCGGCAAAGAGCTGTCACTGTCAAAATAACTTATGATTAAAAACCACTATATGGACCATCTTATATAAATGAGTTTTGCACGTTGAGAAATTAAGCGGAATTTAAAATTTGAAGGGCATCATTAAAAAGGGCGGAAAAAGGAAACTTTCTCTTTAATTTGCTGATGTTGGAGTGTGGTGCTTGCACACATAAAAAATCCCGTTTTGAGTAATAAAAAGTGGTGTCAATTCTGATATGTTTCCAATTCCAAAGATATTGTCGCCAAAAAGTCGATGTCACCGATGTCCTTAATCGATTTTTTTATTAAAGTCGCTTTGTAACTGTCTATCACTCCCCATGCCCAAATATTCGATAAACTCAACGCTATGCGTAGAAGCCCTTTCGAAAGGATGTGTGGTCGTTGAGTAAAGGGCACCTCTTGTCTTATGCACTCTCTGACTTCTGCTACTAAGCCTCCATACAGTAGAACTGGACTCAAAGGCTGTATATGAGCAAATCTTACGGGTGGTTTTCTTAATGTCACTTCCTTGTCTCACCAGAAAAAACGCTAATGCATCCTTCTTGAAAATAGTTATTTTAATCAATGGAGTTCCAGAATCACGTACATTAAATATCAATCAATTATTTAACAATTTTAGCATTAGAACGTTTATTTAGGCGAAAAAGTACCGAAACTAATCATCTTTTCACTGTCACTCGAAAAAATTATAATTGTTGTTTTAAATAACTGTGGGAAGTTTTCAAATAGAATATTCATATTGGAGGCAATGGCCGTTGGCATCAAACACAACATACTTATATGTGCCACCAATTTAAATGTATTTTTTGCAATATTACGATTTTTTTTAATTTCAGTAATTTAAGATACATACTTCAAAATGTTAAATCTGATGTACATACATATATAATAAAACTAGTGTGTCACCAAATGAAAAAAAATTACATTGAGTAAAAGATGACTATGATTTGAGGAACTAAAATTAAATGTTTACAATTTTTATTGGCACACTCGAAATTCATTCTTAAATTTGTATATACGTGAAGAAATTAATATAAATGTGCATAAGGAATACTGTGTAAAAGTCTTCCACGAGAATATTTAATTACTTTTAAATAATATGACTTTTAAGTTAAGGCGTGCGAGTAAACTTGGTAGCTGACTGTGTATGGTGCTACGAGGCGTATACGCTACATACGCAACTACGGGTATATGTACGATGACCATATTTATGCGCGCCGAATACGGGACAAAAAATAATTTTACTAATTTTTTCTATAAATGCTAACAGATCTTGACACCTTCTTAAATGATCATAGATATACATATGTATTAGCCCTGAAACAGCATGCTTATAGTAACATCACAAATTTGTAGGATATTTTTCTCGATATTTTTACTCCACAAAATTGTTTACAAAAGTTTCATTAAATTTTTTTACGATAAAATGCAAGTTTTAAGTAGCCCGAACTTACCCTTAATTTTTGGCATTTTTTTTTTTTTTGTCGACGCTGCTACGCATTTTTTCATACAATAATCTGCTCGACAATTTGTTGATAGGGAAGCAAATGAGCAGCACGTTGCACTTGCACTTTATTATACTCAATTTTAATGAGCTACAAAACTGCATAACCAAATTTTTTTTCTGATTAACGCGTTTGAAATTTTAGTGAAAATTTGCAGAATTAACTCTCATAGTTTTTGTACAAAGTCGAAAATTTGGATATATATATATTTTTGGGTTCCGATCGGTTCGTATTTATGTTTTTTAAATTTTAAGCCAAGCCTATTAAAATATTGGATTTTTATAGTTTTTTAGGAAAAGCTTTACTTAAAAAAAAAACTTTAAATAAACAAAGGAAAAATAGCCGAACCTTGCTAAAATGTAGAACCCTAATTTCTATTTTGGTCACTGTATGTGTTCCTCTCGATTCGAAGCACAGGCATTCAGATTAGAAAATAATAACTGTTTATGGAGAAAATTATGATCGTATTCCACATCATTTAAAACTGGTCCATAGGCATGCCATTTTAATGAGCTCTTAAGGCGTCGAAATACCGAACCCCGAATACGGGACAAATACAGGACATTAAAAAAAAGAAAAACAGAACATTTGGCGTCCCATATAAAATAAATTAATTGCCAGGACAATTGGTCAAAAAAGAGGACTGTCCCGTATAATACAGGACGGATGGTCACCGTGGGTATATGAGCACGAGTTGTTATTTTGCCCTTTTTAGTTTATCTTTTTTAAGTTTTCATATACATAGAATTTCGCGATGGAATCCTATTATTTACGTAAAACGGAAGATAATGCATCATTTAAGATAAGTGTGCCACCATTTTCGACCATTTTCGAAAAATGTAACAACTCGTTAAATTTGCTCATATATCCAGTGAAATTACCTCGAAGAAAATCCCCGTATTATACGGTATTATATGGTAGGTGTTCCAGAGGTAGTTTTTTGTATCGTCTAGTACGGCTAAAGTAGAAGTAAAAATCTCTTTTAAAGTCTACAGTGATGGGAAAATTATTTTGTCAGAAAAAATGCGACCGATCCAAATGACACGTATTTACATTCAAATAAGAATACATCATTGATTGGCATTTGCACCTCCTATTAATACATCCACTGCTTTAACCCCATTTTTTATCGCTATCAATATTTTCAAAACCTAATATAACACATTGTGAGATATTTCCTTCTTTCAATTATTTGTTTGCACAAGTTCTCTTTTCACAGCTCAAAGATATTTACTACGATTGCTATGTGTTGACAGTGATTTTCATCATTTTCATGGCCGCATGCTTCGAATGTTAGAAATATTGCTGCTTATAGTTTTCTTTTTAACACATCCTACGCTTCCTACGCTTCCCTCTCAGACAATTCGACTTTTTTCCAAACGAAATAGCACAGAAATAACATTTAATCACTATCAGTCAAGCAAAGTATTTGACAGCAAACAACCGACTTAACGGGGAATGTTAGAAATGGAAGTGGAAACGGATGTGCGCGGAAATTGTTGATGTCAACGTTTTAACGTCATGTCAGCAATTTTTCTTCCTCTCTTTTACCAATGATAACATAATTATGTTTGTAAAAAACTTGCTCACAAATGCTATTTCACAAAGCGTTGAATGAATGCTTGCTGGCATACAAAGCCGCCTCTTCAATCGAAGTGTATTGAAGTGCGAAATTTGTCGCTTATGCAATATTTACGTGAATTTTGTTATTGTATTCTTCTATAAGAGAAAGTATGCAACTTAGAGCTATGACAACTGTGGTGTTAAACTTAATACATACTACATAAGGATAGTTAACTGATTTAGATAGATTCGCTAGATACACCCAGAAAAGGGGCAGCTAAAAATATTTCCCTCAACATATGACTCGTTTACTATAACCAAATCATGTGTTGAGATAAATATATTTAGCTGACTTTTTTCTAGGTGTAGAAGACTTAATTGAAACCCTGTGGGCTGCAGAAGACTTTTTGAAAAAAGCTTGGATACTGAACTCAAAGCTGATAGAGTGGCTCTACCGTATGGTCGTCCGTGCGATTGTGTTTTATGCATCCGTAGTATGGTGGCAGATGACTCTACAAAAATTAAATTACAACGTATGGCATATCTTTCAGCCACTGGATCGATAAGAACGTGCTTAGTTGCAGCTCTAGAGTCGCTCGTAAGATAGACTCACCTCAATATTATTCAAGAAATAGCAGCCACAAGGGACCTGCAATTTAGACTATCCAACGACTGCTTCGACAACAAGAAACTTCACGCAAGCATTCTTATCAAGTTTCAAAATTTGAAAAGCTTCTGAGGAGATCCGCTTTGGCAGAAGATTGCAAGTGGAAATCCCAGATCGCGACGATTGGGAAAACGGACTCCCTATACTTTATCCCAGATATGTACATTCGCATACAGACGGTTCGGAGATGGATGACACAGCAGGTGCAAATGTATATGGACCTGGCGCCAAATTATCAATTATCATGAGCAGATGGCCCACGGCGTTCCAGCTGAAGTTTTAGCTATTCTCTTCATATAGCCAAGCAGCCATCCTGGCCCTTTCAAGCAGGATAATGGATATTGAAACTGGTTTAAGACTGCTCTAACACGCTTCAAACTCTGAGTGCAGTAACTTTAGCTGGGTGGGGGTTACTGTGGGATCGAAGGGAACAAGATCGCTGCCGAGTTGCCTATCTTCTTAGGGCCGGAACCTTTCTGTACTCTAAGTCCGAGAACTATAATTACTGAGTGGTTACACTCTG